GACACTTTTGCTTGTTTTTTTGCTTTGCATTCCCTGTTAGTAGCCCAGAAAAGAAAAGAGAAGCATTAAAATCAAAACAATATTGTGAGTTTCCATCTTTTCTTCAATGCAAATGTATTTCATGGCCCAGAGCATGGTTATTTGAGGTCTGCCTGTCCCTAAGGATCTCTGCCCATCCCAGTATATCCATCAGGATGGGTGCATTCCAGGCCTCTTCAGTTAATCAGTGTCATCTATTGGGATCTAGGAAATCTCTCTCTCAGAGCTCCTTTACTCTGGAACAGCATTGTGAGATCCATATGGCTATTACCATGGAGAGTATTCTGTAAATTCTTGCTTCAGGCCTCGGGGGTAGAGTGGTTGCTGAGTCCCTGTCAGGTTTTTGGGGCATTGTGTTATTCCAGATGTTCAGTGTCTTTTTCTTGTTCAGGATTTTTAATATGCCAGCTACCCAGGCAGGCTCCAAATTAAATGAATAAAGGTTAGTTTTCTGTTTTCCCTTTTGTACAGAATTTTGTAATGGCGATTTCTTCTTAGCCGATTTCTTCTTAGCAGAACTTAAGGTCATTACCAATCACCTCGCAACTGTTTCTGAAGGTTTGGGAAGTAGAAAAGGTGGCAATATGGAAAAGCCCTAAAATTGTCATTTATTGCACATAAATGTATTATTATACTTTTGGTATACATCATGCTCCTATACTCTAAGAACGGTTGCTGGAATTGGGTATGTCTAGTTTAATGAAGAGAAGGAAAAGGGGGGGACATGATAGCAGTGTTCCAATATCTCAGGGGTTGCCACAAAGAAGAGGGAGCCAAGCTATTCTCCAAAGCACCTGAAGAGTGCTAAAGAGAGAAGCAATCTAGAACTAAGGAGAAATTTTCTGACAGTTAAAACAATTAATCAGTGGAACAACCTGCCTCCAGAAGTTGTGAATGCTCCAACACTGGAAGTTTTTAAGAAGAGACTGACAGCCATTTGTCTGAAATGGTATAGGGTTTCCTGCCTGAGCAGGGGGTTGGACTAGATGACCTCCAAGTTCCCTTCCAACTTTATTATTATTATTATTATCCCCACAGTAACTGTTCTAAGTCACCCCCTCGGTCTTGTGTTAGAAACACCAAGGCGCTACTGGGTTGAAGGATTAGCTATTGCCCAGGAGACTCCTGGTTGTGGGCTCTTTTCACCGAAGTGCTACCCATCTCGCTACTCATGGTTGCCTGCTTTCAAACTGCTGGGTTGGCAGGAGCTGGAGCGAATGACTGGAACTTGCCTTGTCACGCAGCAGCGCTTGGATCTCAAATGCAGGCTTGCTGGTTGTCAAATCAGCATCCTAACCATGTGAGCCACCACATTCCTGGTTCTAAATTACATTCTATAAAGGGATGAACGTTGGTTTCTCAACCCCAGCAGGTGCTGGAAATGCTATTCCCCATCAGGTGAACTTTAGAAGCACCACAACAAAATCCTTTACATTGTTCTTTTAAATACTTGTATGAAGCAAGTCATGTACGTCCAGTCAAAAGTTAACAACTGGGTAAGTGCTGTTGAAGAGCTGTGTTTTGAGACTATAGAGCAGACATGTCAAACACAAGGCCCGGGGGCCGGATGCGGCCCGCGAAATGGTTTCATGTGGCCCACGAAGCCACCCTGGAAACAGTGAGGGAACGGCCCCCGCTGCCTTGGCCCTGGCCCAGGCCGGCCGGGAGACAATGTACAATTTTGTGGTGGCCATCTATGCTGAAATGCATTCAGTCTTAGCTCCACAAGGCCGTCTGGAAACAGTGAGGAACCAGCCCCTGCCGCGTCGGCCCCACCCCCTGGGTGCATGCTGGGGAGGTGTCACCCTTTATGAGGAATGAAGAAATGCACCATCGCCTGGAAGTGGCCAGCAAATGGCCCTCACCTACTTCATATATCCGGCTTGATGGGCTCTGGGGGAGGGGTTTCAGCAGCAGCAGGACGCTCTCCTCACAGCGCCGAGAGGCTGAGCCAGGCAGTGCAAATCCAAAAAGAAATGCAAGGCCACCCAGCTCCCAGCCTGCCCGGTTTCAGCAGGCAGCGGGGCGCTCTCCTCATAGCGCCAAGAACTGAGCTGGGTGGCGCGAATCTGATGAGAAGTGCAATGCTGCCTAGCCCCCAGCCTGCCCAGTTTCAGCAGGCAGCAAGGTGCAAAGTTGGGGAGCTTCGCACCGCCCAGCTCAACCTCTTGGCGCTGTGAGGAGAGTGCCCCGCTGCCTGCTGAAACCACGCCCACCCAGTAGGCCACACCCACTCCATCCACGCCCACCCAGTAGGCCGCACCCTCCCTGGCCACATCCATCCCCCCCCAAGAACAACCGCAATGCTGATGCGGCCCTCAGTGAAATTGAGTTTGACACCCCTGCTACAGAGGGCCAGTGGAATGATCTTCTCAAAAGAATTTGCTGTAAAAAGAACTAAGAAGTGAGGGCTTCCCTATGAAGCGCTACATGCAGACTACAAAACCTTTCAATTACATCAGGGATGGGTTAGTCAATTTCAGGACTTAGTATTCTGCAAGTCAATGATAGGCCAGCCTGTTTCAGAAATTAAAAGAGAGGAAGCGGCTGAAAAAAAAATCATTACAGTAAGCATACTTTGCAGACGAGCTCAAAGTCTATTCCTAGTGTTTTAAAATCATGAACTGGCATTGCATTGGTTTAGTAGAACTTTGGACATTTCCACTACTTAAAAAAAAATCTTCTGCCTTAATTTATAAATCACTTGTTAATCATTTGTGCAACTTTGCTGCATTCATATTATAAGAAACTCAAGAGACTAGTTTCTGAAGTAAATGTGGGTGAAATGAATGTGTTCTTTTGTTCACCTAGGCAATTCAGCTTTCTTTTTCTCCTATTCAGATATATGCCTTTATTTCTGTTGCTCAGGGAAGTTAGTCTCATTAGCCTTTCTGTTTTTAATTGCCCAAAGAATACGGCAATTAGCTTTTTTTTTTTTTAATGCAACTTTCTCTTGGGGTCGCTCCAAAATGGACATACATTTGAAAAGAGGGACAGGAAAGAATTCTGTAAAAAAAAAACAAGGGGAAGTGAAAGGGGTCCCCCTCCAGTTTGCCATAAAAGACAGGCCTGTTAATTTAAACTGGCTGCTCCCATTCTCTCTGGATCTACAGATGGCCAGCAGACAGAACAAGCATTGCAACCCAGGGGGAGCAGCTACACAGCTGGACTCCTTGTATCACAGCATTGCCTGTATTTCTCAAAAACACAAGGCCATTTATATGCTCTTTGGACTTGTATTGGAAAGGGACGTTTCATTTAGCTCATGCCATTGACTGAAAGAGCCACAAAACCCAGAGACACATGCACGCACACACACGGGGCAGTCTTTAGAAAATAAGCCATAGAATGGAATTGTTCTGCTTCTTCAAAGTCCTGCCAAGATGGTGTCTGCTGAACGGGTTTCTAGCATCTGTAGGAGGGTTGAAAACTAGGAGAGGCCACCAAAATCAGGAGACAAAAACACTCCTTTCTTCTCTTCCAAAAGCCTAAGAGCGTTCTGATAAACCTGTATTCTGTTAGCACTTTCTCAGATCCTGAACAGGAAAAGGGATATGGTGAGTTGGTGGATTATGTATTTACAGTACATTGAGTAATTATTACACAAAAAAGAAGAAAAGAAACATCTCAGATTGTCCTATCTGTTCTAGGTCAGACCATAGCTTCTGCCATATTAAACTTTGTGTGACTTTGCTGGCAGAAATGCACACTCACCTTTAGTATAATAATAATTATTATTATTATTATTATTATTATTATTATTATTATTATTATTATTATTATTAATAATAATAATAAAGTTGGAAGGGACCTTGGAGGTCATCAAGTCCAACCCCCTGCTCAGGCAGGTATCCCTATACCAGTGATGGCAAACCTTTTAGAGACCGAGTGCCCAAACTGCAACCCATGGGTTCTGTTTGTCAGCCAGTATCTGCTGCTGGATACAGACTGAAATTGAAATTCTCCATCCCTATCATATCACAAGGAGTCACTATATCATTCTAAATTCATACATATCTTGCAGAATTCCAGAGACATACAGTAAACCTGCTTTATCCTACCAAAATATAATCAGAGACTGAGATTTCTTCTCCGATACACATTTTTCAAGTATCGCCACAAAAGTTAGCACTTCATTTTGCTGTAAGAGAAAATTATACTGAAATAACTGCTTGAAGATCTCATTTGAAACCTATGTATCCTCAATCTTTACATGCAAATTAAAATACAGATTAAAACTGCATTATAGGAAATGTAGGAATATTGTAATAAAAAGCACACTTTGTATACAAACAAACTCATGATATTAATGGATTGTAACACAGCTTCTGTAACAAGCCATGGTGATAATCAAAATGCTGGTATGTTCTTTATAATGCCATAATGCTACCTGAGAGACTGCTTGTCTCCAATCATGTCTGCCTGTCCTGTGTGTTCCAGCAGAATTGGTGGGCTCCAGGTCTCCTCCATTAAATGCTGCCAACTTGTGGGACCTAGGAAGTGTGTGTATCCCCTTTTTGTGGGGCTCAGCCTCTGCAAGTGTTCCAGAAAACTTAGAAAACTTGTCTTTGGATCTGTGTCTGGGGTTAATGTTTGTTATTTTTAATGGGTCTTATTTTGTTTTGTGGATTCTGTTATAAGAGCATTTTAGTCCAGGATACCTGTTGATTTTAATATTTTTAGTCTTTTTTTTACCTGTGTGTACCACCCAGCATCCACTGGAGTTGGGCAGCCAATAAATTTAAATGAACGAACAAATGAATAAATAAATAAATATCATCATGCAAATTTTGGGATATTTATACAAGTACACAGGTCTTGTCATTTTCATGCTGATCTCATAACATGCATATTTATTCACCGCACTTGCTCCCTCTAGGGATGTCTATGAAGATGCATAAAATTATAATTTTGCTGAACTTATGGGCCAAATCACCAATGAAATGTTGTTCTGCTTTTAGGTGAACATGTTTGTTGAAGGTTTCCATGATGCCATAGTTCTCTATGTTCTGGCTTTACGGGAAGTTCTGAAGAATGGCTTCACAAAGAAAGATGGAGATAAGATTGTTCATCAGACATGGAACAGGACATACGAAGGTACATCCAGTCACATAAGCCATGCTTTTTTATAAACAGTTTTGTTTGATTAAAAGCTGTCACTTTTTATCCTTGTTTCTTCATGGTAGAGATTATGATTCCTGGGTTTTGTTGATCAGCGCTTCTAGATAATTGAAATGAAAAGCCAATTGTTTCTGCTAATATTATGAAAGATTGATTTTGTTAGCCATTTTTAAAACAGATGTGTCATGCAAAATCTTGTGCTCACAGCATAAAGTACAGGACTAGCATAGAAGTTTAAACAATCAGTTCAGGAGCTTCAAGTACCAACAAAGTCACAGGGTTTGAAGAGAGAACAAAAGAGGTCAGACTGGAGTGGTTATCAGAGGAAAAATTCTAGATAACCTTAAGACAACAATCGGTTTCTATGGAAGGAAGTTTCTGTGAGAAGAAAACACTCTGTAGGGTTACACAGACTGAAACCAATCCTTCGAATTGGGCCTGGAAACAACCAAAACCCTGAGAGAGTTAAAATGGAGCACTTTAAAGAATAAAGCATAAGGATCGCTGAATGCTTAGTTTAAATCAATGTTTTCCAAACTTGGCCACTTGAAGATGTGTGGACTTCATGCTGGCTGGGGAAATCTGGGTGTTGAAGTCCACACATCTTCAAGTTGCCAGGTTTGAAAAGCACTGGTTTAAATAATCTTCACCCCTCAACCTTCTATCCTTCTATCTTTTGTCCCCATTGTTCTGCCTGAAACGCTGTCTCTTGCGTTTGATTGTATAGTCTGCAAAAAATAGAGTGGAGAATGTTGAATTTAATCACAATAGGTAGAGAATTGCATTGACAGTGCAGCTTTTAAATAGCTCCCTATTGTATCCATGTTAATAGCACCAATATAAAGTATCAGTAGCAAGCAGCAATATGTCCTTATTGCAGTTATTTAGCAGCTCTTGAGTCCCCTGTTTTTAAAGTTTTTTCCCTGTTTTTCAACTGTTTTCATGTTTGTTTATTAGTTCGCCACATTACATTACTTCCTTTATTAATTTAGTTTTTTAATCTTAAAAGCTAAAATGTTCAGATATCTATTGCCTACTTATCTGCTTAGTTGTAGTGTTACGGGTTTTTGTATTAAGTTTTGATCATTGTGCATTTGGAAAGTAAGGCTTTCATTTTTTTTTTCTTTTCTAGTCTTTGTGCCTGATTATTGAAACAGCCACGCTAAGTCCTACAAGCCTTATAATGTATAAATGTACGCAAAACTTAATGTGGACATCCACATAGAGATAAACTTTATAAAATAAGCAGGACATTCCTGGTAAGACCAGCAGCCCTTGTCAAATTCACCCTTCATTATGTACTGGGCAAAATTACCAAGCTTTTCAGTGGAAGTACTTAAAGAAACGGAAATGTTTCCTTTAGATAAGAACCTAACAATGAGTTCAGAAACTGGAATGGCTTTGAAAAACATCATCAGCCATTTTCTCAGCTGCAGTTACTTTTTCTTTAGGAAGAGAGCATTAAAGGAAATGCTTTAGTAGAAGGGAAATATTAGATTGACAGTAGAATTGCAATGAAATATCATTTCATGTGGTATGCATTTTGAAATGAACTTCCTATTCCACATTTCCTGGATGAGCAATTATGTAGACAATTCCTCTCAGAATTGGATAATGGGCTTTTTGGATCGCAAGTTATGCAAAGAAGTATGTATTTCGGGAGAAATGGTCCATGAAAAGGAATTTTCTTTTTTACATGCAAAGAAGAGCAAAATGTATATACAACTAAGCACATAGAAGTTTGGCACAGACTAATCTGTCTGACTTTATCTGGAAGGGGAAAAAAAATATCCCTTCTAAATCTTTAATTCAACATTCCTCATTCTGGCACCTTCTGGATATGCTTGGAACTACAGTTCTCATAATCCCCAGCAAGGAATTAAGAGGCATTTTAGTATGATTATATCTGTAAAATATCAGGTTACAAGTCAAGCCAAAAATTTGCATGTATTTTTTCTGTAAACAAGTTCAACTAATTCAGTGCCTCACATTACAGAGATGATAGCTCACAGCAGGTCCATTGATTTCAGTGAAAACTGCAGTAGAAGGACACTTCACTAGCATATACACTATTTTAAGAATCAGTTAAGGAGGCAACTAGTGGTACAGTAGCTACTGTAGAAGGTTGTGGGTTGTGGAAGAAACAGGGAACTGTTTAGTCAAGTTTTCTTGATACTGGTATTTGCTATCTCTTTACCTATTTTTTGACAGAGTTTCTACAAGGAAAGAAGAGGGAAAGAACTATTTCCTATGTTATTTCTACAGATTTTTTTTTTAATGTGCCTTCAAGTCAGTGTTAATTCCTGGAGACTGGCTGGATTAATCCCTGGGATTTTCTTAGCAACATTTTTCAGAAGTGTTTTCCCCTTGCCTCCATCCTAGGGCTGAGAGTGTGTGCTGGTTTCATGTTTAAGATGGGACTAGAATTCCTGGGCCCTTGGTTTCCAGCCTGGTGCGTTAACCATTATCCCAAACTGGCTTTCTAGTTCTACAGAGAGGGATCCTTACAATTCTTTTGACTTCAAGTAAGCAACAGTGAGCATCCTGTGAGAAATGAGATTTTTTCAGAGCAAGGTTTTTCATTGTAAATTAATTTCCAACATCATTTTGTTGAGCTTTAATAGATTTAAAAAAAAAAAAAAAGTTTAGGAAGACAAAAGAATTCCAACATTCAACATTTGCTTTCCAATATGACTTATCTCTGTAAGCTATTCAAAGTCATTTACTTCTTGCTTCTTTTAACCCAGGGCAAGGGTTTTAAAGGCAAGGAAGCCAGTTTCTATTAGGAAATGTCGAATAAGACTTGATTACTTTCATTTCTACTAATAAGCTGAAATAATTTATCCTCTTGAGAAGGAAATGTTACATATTCTAGGAATGTAGACACAATTGCAGTCTCTTGTAATGCCAGCCAGAACCCTGGAAGACTGCTAGGATTCATTACCATATCGGTCTGTAAAAATTCTGCCCTCTTTATGTTATTTTTACTTGGAAACATTCAACATTTTCAATTAATATATATATACATTCTTCAGGCATTGCAGGGCCAGTATCTATTGATGCTTCTGGAGAAAGATTTGGGGATTTTTCTGTGGTTGCCATGACGGATCCTGAAACTGGAACACAACAGGTGAGTAAATGTTTCTAAATCAGCTTTGACCATGTTTATTCCCCTCTGGGTATGTTGAACGACCTAGCATGGGTAGCAAGATGTCCAGGCCTGGGAGTTGAAGGCCAACAGCTCTGGAGTCCATCAATTTCAGGAAAGCTGTTCTAAATTATAAATTGTCCTGTTTCGTTAAATCTTTGAGTGGCATTTAGGTTCTAGAAATTTTAGGTATAACAATAATTTCTCCTACTGAATAGGAATTTGAACTATGCTTCTCCTGGACCAAGTCCAATACTCTAATCATATCCTAAAAGTGCTTCAGTTTTATATGTGGCAACTCATAGAAATCGGCTAGGAATTTAGAAAAAAATTAAGGGCAGCAATTATGAAGCCAAGAAAGATTAAGGGGGTGAATTCATTTAACTTTTACCCAGAACACCAAAATTACAATTAAATTAAGCATAATTCAAACAAAACCACTTGCCTGCAAGCAAGAACTGGTGGAACCACAAAATAGACAAAATAATAGAAAATGAAGACGCTAAAGTGCACATTGACCACATTTCGGGTACTTGGCAACGGGCTCATATTTATTTATATTTATTTATGTATTAATTTGTATCCTGCCTTTACTATTTTTACAGATAACTCAAGGCAGTGAGCATACACAATATTCCTTCCTCCTATTTTCCCCACAACAACCCTGGGAGGTGGATTGTGTTGAGAGAGAGTGATTAGCCCAGTGTCATCCAGCTGGCTTTCATGGCTATGTCAGGATTTGAACTCACAATCTCCTGGTTTCTAGCTTGGTGCTCTAACCACAAGACTAAACTGGTTCCAGCATCCCACAAAAAATGAGTTTCTAGCAAATAAATGCCCATTTGGGAGAATGGATTTGGACTTATAACTGTGTGATTTGTTTTATAACTGCCGTAAAAACAGTCATAAAATTGGGTGTATGCCTTGACTTAATGACTGTTCCAATTTACAACCGAAATTCCAGTACCAATTTTAATCATGAGTCAAGGGCTACTGATTTGAAGAGTTCATATACTGTAACTCACTAGCACCTTGAAAAGGTTAGATAGAAAAATAGGTTGGCATAACCACGAGACACATTTTAAAACACAAACTACCAAACTAACCATAATAATTAGCTATCTGGGTATCACAAATATGACCCTAAGGAGTGTTTAAGTATTGGCATTGTGAAATGATAATGACTGCAAAGAGGAATACAAAATCCTAAATCCAAAATATCACAAATATTATATTTTGTAAAAATAGATGCTCCACTTTGATAATACATGATAGAAAACTGAACTAAAACACATGCATGGCATGTATTTCTCATACAATTCCATATTTTGCCATTTGACAGCAAATAATAATAATTTGGGAAGATGAAGAGAAATAGATACGGCAATCTGCTCACTTCCCGATGCTTTGAATTATCCTTGCAGTCTCTTGCAAGTAATGAGCAATCAAGCTATAATTTAAATTGCACCATGTTCCTCTCTTTTATCCCCAAAGGGAAAGATTAGAATCAGTTTACTAAGGTCAGTATTAGGAGAAGCTTCTGAATAGTAAGACTGGTTCAGCAATGCACGCAGTTTGTTTAACAAGGTAGTAAGCACTATTATCCTGCCAATATTATATCAGAAGTTGGAAGACTACCTAAGAGAGGTGTTGTACTTGCACGATTCTTTTCAATACTATTACAGTCAGTTTCTCCTTTCATACCCTTAGTATTTGAGGTCTGCCTAAAGTCAAATGTAGATTCCTGTTTCCTGTTAGTTTACTAAGCAGACTTTGAAACAAAAAAAACCCTGCAGTTATAGAGCCTGGCAAATTAGAACAAATCAGGTAACTATTTCCTGTTTTCAACATAATGGGGAAATATTTTCTTTAATCAGAACTGCAGTACTGAAGCCAGTATTCTCAGAAAAGGGAAGTCAGTGCATTTCTGGGTTCGTGTTCGTGACACAAGCGTCAATACATCCAAACTCCAGAGTCTAAGAATCTAGAAAAGATGCCGTTCTGTTGAGTTTCTATTGGGGAAATAGCCCCCATTAACAGAGCGGAAGTTATTACTTTCAGGTGATTATAATCTGCTGCTCAAGATGGTAAAATTAGGGAAATCATTGTAATGTCACCTTGTTGAACTGCCAGTTCAGTGAATTGGTTTGATTTGGCATGGACGAGCCTATTTGTGCTATTATCTTATTCATATAATCTTTTTGACTGCACTTACGATATTTTGAGGTTCGATGGCATATACTGAAAATTTATCCTCTGAGCCTCTGAACTAATTAATTAATTGATTAATTTATTTATACTCTGCCCATCTCGCTGTTTGGGGCAGCTTACAATGTCATAAAAATAGAGATATCAAAGCCATTATAAATATAAAAACAGATTAAAAATTGCAAAAGATTAAATATAAAGTGAAAGAACATGAGCTGACAGCAGAACGGCGTTGGTGCCTTCTCTGTCCCCCAACCAACTCCAGGCTACGGCTTCTCCATCAGGGCCCTGCACCAACCAGCAGAGCCAGGCTTTAAGGCTCTTCCTAAAGGCCAGAAGGATGGGGGCAAATCTCACCCCCCGGTGACAAAGTATTCTGGGGGGTGGGGGCCATGGCAGAAAAGACTCTTCTCTAGATCCTGCCAGCCAAAATTCCTTGGCTGATGGGGCCTGCAGGAGGCTCTTTCTGCCAGAACAAGTGGAGCGGGCCAATCCCATGAGGCAAGATGGTTCCTCAGATTTCCTGGACCCATGCCATATAAAGAATTTTCTGCAGTAAAGATTTTTGCTTTTATACCTTGTTATCTAGGGTCCTGTAGAAATATTTCTGATTTTACCTTATGGCTGCAAGGATTTTTTTGTTAGACATTTCTCTATCACAAAGGAGCACGGTAGCTTGTGTGGTTAGGACGCTGGGTTGGAGGTTAGCAAGCCCATTCAAGACCCAAGTTCTGCCATGGGGCAGGGTTGAGCTCCCGTCCTTGGCTCCATCTCCTGCCGGGGACATGAAAGGTGTCCCCAACTGTGTGTTTCTCGGGCAATACTGATGTCACCAGCTAATCCTTTCAACCCAGAAGTGCCTTGGTGTTTCTTTTTAAAAAAAATTTTTTTATTAATAATACAAAATTAAAAACACATTGGACATAGATATGATCTCACTGGTTCCATACATCTTCCAACATTTTACAATAGTATATTGTACTCATATAGACATATAGTTCTTGAACTTTGCTCATTTTCGGAAGAACATTCATTTTAATGGTGGCTACCCTACCCAAGTGCCTTGGTGTTTCTGACAGGAGTGCTATGTTATGCTATTTCTCTATCACACGCCAGCCCTACTGGCTGCTCACACTTCCTGATCGAAAGAAATTCCAGATAGAGTTCCTTCATTGATTCTTCCTCCAGGGCTTCATTGAAAAGTGAGAAGTTAGAAACTGGGGAGAGCAGTGAAAGCCGAGACCCTAAATTGCTCACTTAAACCAAATCTTGCCCCAAATATAAGAGAATTTTGCCGCTACTTTGTAAAGTAAGCAAACTGTTTTCCACCAAGTTGGATGAGAAAGATTAACAAAACAAATGCATTATAAAATATTAAAATGGAAGATGTCAAAAAAGAAACTATATAAAGGTAATAAAAAGTCCAGAGGTCATCTGAGGCAAGACCAAAGGATTCAGCATCTTAAGCCAAAGAAAATAATATTGATTTCATTCTCTGCAGATGTTCCTGTTCAGCCCTCCTCTTGGGCAGAAACAATCACTGCAGGGCTAGCAACCATTTGTTAACTTTCCGTCTGCTTGTACAAACATCTCTCTTTTCATAGTCTGATTACTTTCCCTTTTGAGTTGGTTGACATCATTTCTTTTACTATGTTTGCCCCAGCTCTGATTTATAATATTCTCCTCTCTTTGATGATGCTGGTGGCGGTGTTTGTTTACTTGGGAGATTCCTTCCCATCGCTCATGAAAACTTTATTTCCTAAGTGGAACAGAGCCAAAGGAACTTCGGTCTTTATCTGATCACTTGGTGTTTACAACAAGGTTACTTTGGCTTCTTGTAAAATAAAAAAATAAATGGCCAAGATACATGATAGAAAATCCTGACAACTGTACACAAATAGTCTCAGATTGTAATGACACTCTGTTATAGCTGTAGGAAGCAACTTTGTATGTGGATCCACAAACACAGATGGGTTGCAAATGTGATTTATTCCCCAGGTCTGTATAATTTCAGCGCCTTGGTTTTGCACCAAACAAATCTTAGGAGTTTTGAACTAGGCTGGAATAGTTGTTGTTGCTGTCATTACTTTTACCATTGTTAAGTTCTTCTAGAAGCTCAGTAGACTTTCAGTTTTCTCAGGGGTTTTTTCCCCCTCCTCGGGTTTTAAGATAGAGCAAGAAAATTACATAATTTACCAACTCTGTCTTCAGACAGTCAATCTTAGAATTGTTAATGCTCTTTACCAGACTTCTGATGTAGATGTACAATGGGGATGGAAAGAAAAGAAAAGAAAAGGAAAGAAAGGAAAGAAAGAAAGAAAGAAAGAAAGAAAGAAAGAAAGAAAGAAAGAAAGAAAGAAAGAAAGAAAGAAAGAAACTTACTTTTTTATCTTTACCTAGCAGGATATTGTTTTCATTTTGTCATATATATTTATATATATTCAGGTAATTGGAAACTATTATGGAAAACAGGGAAGGCTTGAAATATTTCAAAGTGCAAATTACCTCTGGGAACAAAGACTAAAAACAGACGATAGCCGAGGATTGGAACACACAAGCAATGCAGCCTGCAAATCGTGTAAGTTAATGTACAAGTGTTAGGCCTAATCAAACCAAACTGATAATCTATGCTTTTACCTCTGTATTTTACTAGCAACCTTATTCTGGCCAATATTTAGGTCCTGTCCTGGGTCTTGAAAAAGACCTACATATTTTTTTTTCTCCTACTAAAAGCAAGCAATGTCAACAATGAATCTAAAATAAACATAATTCATAAAAAAGGCTGTGAAGCTAAAGAAAAAAAACATTTCAGCCTCAGCTAAAAACTAAGCTTCAAACAAATCTGTACATCCAATTACAGATTGAATCTGTAATTCAATCATTCTGCAAGATTTTGTTGTTAACGGATTCCTTTGGTTGATTTCTGTTTATTTTTCAAGCAGGTGGTGTAGGAGAATCAGCAGTTACCGGGATAGTGGTAGGTGCCTTGCTAGGAGCAGGATTGTTGATGGCCTTCTACATTTTCAGGTGAGTTTAATTTTAACACCCAGTATCTTTGAATGTCTGTCATTTCTCCTCAAATTCTGCAATCTGGCAGAGAGGGTTCATGAACTGATCCAAACACTGCCAAAAACGCTATGGTAATTAAAAAGAAATTTATTCAAAGTCAGCCTTCCATTCCCTTAGCAATTGGAAACCAGAAGTGAAATCAACATGGCAGCCAAGGTGCTGGTTGTCACCTTTAAAGCCTTTCATGACTTGGAACTGGGTTACCTGAGGGGACCGTTTTTCCCCAGTCGTTTCTACCTATCCAATTCAATCAGGCAGGTTGGACCAGTGGTGGGATTCAAATCCCTGAACAACTGGTTCTCTCTGTGGATGTAGAAAGGACTTCCGGAAGTGGCATCCTCGCACTTCCAGATGGCCGTTCTAGGCCTGGTAGGCTTCCTCCAGGCCTAGAACGAACTTCCGGAAGTGGTGTGCATTCAGCCGGTTCTCTGAACTCAACAAAATTTAGCTACTGAACCGGCTGAATCCCATCACTGGGTTGGACACATGTTGAAGGCCCCATCAGCCAAGAAATGGCAACTGGAGGGGACCAGGAAGAAGGCCTTCACTGCCATAATGCCTGCCCTCTTGAACATTCTCCCTCCAGAAAATAGGATGGCCTCAATCCTGTTGGCCTTTTACAAGGTCTTGTACATGGGCCTCAAATCCTGAGTATATGAAGAGGCTCATTTCCTGGTTATGCTAACATTTACGGATTATAATAATTCTCTGCTGCTATATGCATTTAATTCTTCTTCTTGCATTGTGATTTCAATTAGATTTTAATCGATTTAATGATTATTTGCTGGCTAGAGTCACTTGCTTGAGATGGATAGCCATACAAAGTAAATGAATAAATGAATTTATTTATTTATAAAATGTATTGGACATCCATCTTACCATAGGGTAACTCTGAGCGGTTTACGGTTACCTATAAGCTAAAACATAAAAAGTTAAAATCGAGCATTAAAACCAAAGATACATGAGGGCGGGGGCGGTGTGGGGGGGAGGTGGGATCTGTTATTACTCAATCAACCAGTTACATTGCACTGTTCCCCCACTGGGTCCCCAAGCCAAATGGCACAGCTGTGTCTTTAGGCCCTTATGAAAAGATAGGAGCATTGGGGCCAACCTTACATCAGGGGGCATGATGTTCAAGAGGGCAGGAGCAACAGTAGAAAAGGCCCTCCTCCTGGATCCCGCCAGCCGGAATAATCGGGCTGACGGGACCTGCAGCGTGCCTCCTCTGCCAGCACAAGTGGTACGGGCCAATCCCAGTGGGGTGAGACAGTCCCTCAAGTAACCTGGAAAAGGGCTTTAAAGGTGATCACCTACACCTTGAATTGCACCCAGAAACAGACTGGTAACCAATGCAGCTCGCAGAGCAGTGGTGTTACAGGAGCCATTTTTGGGGCCTCCAAAACTACCCTTGCTGCTGCACTCTGCACCAGCTGTAGCTTCCGAATGCTCTTCAAGGGTAGCCCCATATAGAGCTCATTACAGTAGTCCAGTCATGAGATGACTAGGGACTGAACGGCTGAACGCAGGGATCATAACTCCAATCCACAGGAAATCTAGGAATTCTACTCCCTTTACATAGGGGGGGGGCATATGCTGTAACACAATTCTTAGCAGAAATCGATTTTCCATCAATGTGCAGTTGACACATGCAGAAAAATACTTAAATCATGATTAGGCTTTCTTAAAACAAGTGAGTTTGGCAACAATATTCTTGTTTAGAATATCTCCCAGCCATGCTTGCTTTCTTTCCAACTTCTCTACTCCCCTATTTTTCATCCCACTGCAGATAATTAGCATTCTGTACCAAGTTAGCAAACAATGTTCTCATTTTTCTTGTTTCATGAGAGGGTTGCCATGTAAGGGTTTCTTTTTCTAAAAAGCATTTTTCTGCTTCTGCATACTGCTGACCCTCCTCTTTCTTAGTAGGCTCATTCTGGTGATGCAATCATCATTCAGCATTTGAGCTTCCTGTAAAAATAATACCAACAACAAGAAGCAGGGTTGCACAATATATTGCTGTAATTAACAAAATGGACAAACATTTAAATTTAAATGGCTCACAGATAGACTTTTAATTACATATACGATTTTAACTCTCACTGGATATAAAGAATCCTCTTGTTTTTAGGGTCGTTTTGTTTCATATTTTGTAACTAAAGAAAAAAGCTTATCTGATATCTTTAAACATGCCTTAACTTGTATATGAGACAAAAATGTTGCGAGGTACATCCCTTTAATCTTTGGGCAGTGATACTCATTCATGTAACTCAGGGGTAGTCAACCTTGGCTCTTTTATGACTCGTGGACTTCAATTCCCAGAATTCCTGAACCAGCTTAGCTGGCTCAGGAATTCTGGGAGTTGAAGTCCACGAGTCATAAAAGAGCCAAGGTTGACTACCCCTGATGTAACTGATTATGACAAACCCAGCTGTTCTTTTGTAGTGGGAGTTTTATTTCTTATCTCAAATTCCTGAAGGAATTGTTCTTGCTTTCTGCCACCTAGGAAAAAGTACAAAATAACCATTGAAAGAAGAAATCAGCTGGAAGAGTACAACATTGGCAAGCACCGACAATTACGAGAAGACTCCATCAGGTCTCACTTTTCTGCTGCATGAAATAGAAAAGAATTACTCTTGTGGGGATATCTGTAGACAAATGGACAGTACCAAAGACTGCCACAGGGAAAAAAAAAAGTGCGTTAAGGACTCCACCTTTTAAAAGTAGAGTCACTTGTCTTAATTTTTTTTTTCTTCAGAAACTCAGGAATGATTTACTAGCCACATTATGCCACATGGCCTTTTTTATCTCATGGAAAGATGAATGATTAAAAGAAACATACCTGTTTTCTCATGACAAGACATTATTAATACTTTGTGGATATATCTCAAGGCAGATTTGGGGTCTTGATGATGTAAACGTTCCTTCATGATGCCTTGGTGAATGTCAGGTGATTCTTCACTACATCACACACCAGATCCTTAAGTACTTTCATAGGCAAAGGGGCAGCTTCACATAGGGAACAAAATAGGTTCTGAATTGAATTGTGGAGACAGGATGGGGGGAAAGAGTGTGTAGCTTAGTACAGTGCAATATAATTTTGGAAAAAGAACAGTCATGCATTTCATCAATGGGACAGAAGAAACCTCACGCTGGACCCGAATGAGGATTTAATACTGAACACAGTTTACATCTCACATTAGTTTTGAAATTGTTCCGCTGTGATTCCTAGGGATATTCTCTCACTACTCTGTTATTAATATAAGAAAGAGAACTGTATGCATGGGAAGGGAAAATTCTTCTTCACATAAATTCCACTTTACCCTGAATTTTTATTTTGAGGAAGTTTCCCTGTCCATATTATTTCTATATCCAGGGGGAAATGCTTCCTGACTTCAGATCCATCGTCTTCAGCTCCAGATGTCTGAGGCTGTAGCTCCCTAAATTTTCAGCATGGCTGTTAGGAATCTGACAATTATAATCATACTTTGAGAGCCAGCATAGGACAGTGGTTTAGACATGGCCCTAGTATCTGGGAGATTCCAGTTCAAGTCCACCCCTTGATCTCTTTGAATGACTTTACACAATTTTATCTCAGTCCAACCTGCCTCATAAAGATTTTGCCATATGGATAAAATTAGAGGAATCAATATTAAATATCACCAAGAGCTGACAAATAATAAATTCTTAATCTGTCTAGACAGCGTAGGCTATTTTAGAAATTTGGTATAAGGTTAACACAAAAGAGTTTTGGGGAAAAGAGATGCAGTTTTAGGCCAGCTGTGTACATAAGTTAGGATAAAGTGATGGAATCCTGAAGTTTGGGTTTTCAAGTTCAGAATGCAAATGACCACCTGAATATTTTCCTATGTAGAAAAAAAAGGTTAAGGTATTTCAAAATACTTCAGAGAAGATTGTTCTATCTCAGGGGTAGTCAACCTTGGCTCAGGAATTCTGGGAATTGAAGTCCACGAGTCATAAAAGAGCCAAGGTTGACTACCCCTGTTCTATCTAATCCTCTCAGTGGTTGATTAGCAGGTGTGAACTGGATTTCTATGAAGCATTTAAAGATTGAAAGAGTCCAACAGGTTCTACCATCTGGATGCTTATCTCATACACTTGATGTGTAAATCAGATTTTACAGCTGCCAATGACTCAAATCAAAATCTCTGCCTCTAATCAAAGTGCGTGCTGCTCTCTACACAAGTAGTCCTCGACTTACAGCCATTCGTTTAGTGACCGTTTGAAATAACAATGGCACTGACAACACCGACTTACCGTCGTTTTTCACATGACTGTTGCAGCATCCCCATGGTTTACCTGATCAAAATTCAGAGGGTTGGCAACTGGATTTATGGATTTATGATGGTTGCAAATCACCTTTCGTAACCTTCTGACAAGCAAAGTCAATGGAGAAGTCATATTCACTTAACAACCATATTACTAACTTAATTGTAATGATTCACTTAACAACTGTGGCAAGGAAAATTGTAAATGGGGCAAAAGTCACTTAACAACTGTCTTGCTTGATAATGGAAATGTTGGGCTCAGCTGTGGTCGTAAGTCAAGGATTACCTGTATAGGTATCCTTGATATAAATGAACATGCAGACACCATTGGAAATTCAGGTGAAATTCTTTGATGGTGCCCTGCTGGACCGTAAGTCTGTAATTGCCAGTGTTGAAATGTAAACTAATGAGAAGAGGGGTCCTTGGTGAATGTAAAACAAACTCCACTCCCTACTAGCACTGAAGATGTTTTCTAGTGTGGGTAATGTAACGTCTGCAGGAAAACAACCAAGCTCAGACCACTCGTGTCAGCCCTGAGCTACAAATATTCTTCTCTATTGGAACTAATGAGATACTTGGCCCAGCAGTTGTGTACTGTGCAGCTGTGAGAATCTCGGTGTCTCCCCCTCCCCAAAGCAACTGGTTTTCAAAACCAGGTTGTTAACTCAACAATATGTTCCATTGAAAACTGTGGTACTTTACTTATGAGGAAAAAAAAGTGTAGAATTAGGTTGCAATACAGCATCTGCCCTCTACATTTTTTTGTAGGGTGCAAATGCCCAACTGCCAACTTGGAGCCTTGGGTGCAGCTCAAACTTCGTAAAATACCACATGGCAGAATAGTTTTGTACAGCAATGGAAGTCGCAAGTATTTTGTTGTGTAAAAATGATATTCTGGTTTAACATTTTATTTTTACGTATTCCTATATTTTTCTATTAGAAAACTGGTTATCTATTTGGGATATCTGTTTTGCTTTGGAAAAGATACCTGTTTGGGATATTTTTTTTATTTTGGAAAAACCAAATGAAAAGCATCTTACAAAAGCTATCTTTTTTTCTTTTTAAGTCTGAATAATCGTGAGCAGAGAACTTAGATTCAATAAAAGTTTACTCTTTTATATCATCATGGTCGGAAGCTGACCTTCCCCCTTTTTCCTTCTTTCTGTCAACAGTGGCAATAGGTAAGAACTGAACGTTGATGCTCATATTCCCAAGGTCTGGATAGTGCAAGAATGGCCAGCCGCAAAACTCTTTTTTCCCAGGAACTTTTGAACCCCCAGGCCACACAATGTAATGCCATGAAGCCCAGGGATTAACAACAAATAACCATGTTAATGCATTTCTTTTTGCCTTCATTTACCAAAAACATACACATAGAAACAATAAATTCTGTTTGTTTTCTTTTTTAAAAAAGCTATTGGATTAGGTTTTCTGTCTCCTGCCTTAAAATTTATCTTTATAAACCAAGGAAGTTCTCATGAACTTCCAAACAAACTAGCTAGTTGCACCCAGAGAGATAGTGTGCATGCTACACACCATTCATAGCCCACACGCTAGCAATGTCTGTCTCCATTATTTTTCCTTGTCTCATGCTGGCAAAGGAGTCAGATGTATCTCTCTAATTATGTTCCTCTTGCCAGAGGACTCTTCTTTCTTCTATAGTGGTTTCTGAATTGGGCATATTGCAGAAGATTCTAGGATGTACCAGATCTAGACCGCAGAAATCCAGGTATCCACTAGATGGCAGCAGCAGGCCTCTTTTTCCCATTTACAGGTTATCTCAGTGGTTCTCAACCTTTTTAATGCCGCGACCCCAACCGGTCGTAAGTCGAGGACTAAACCGGTCGTAAGTCGAGGACTTTCCCTGCCCGGGAGCGCCGCGCATGCGTGGTTCCGCCCCCTGCGCCAGCCGAGGCGTAGCTGGCAAGCGGCAGAGACAGCAGGCCGACCACCAGCTGGCCCAGCCCAAGGGCCATGGCAGCCGCCGGAAAAGGGGAAAAAATGGCGGACAAAAAAAATGGCGGACAGCCTTGCTTGGCGACCCCCGTGAAATGGTCGATCGACCCCAAATGGGGTCCCGACCCACAGGTTGAGAACCACTGGGTTATCTGGATTTTCACAACTTATGGGTGTAGTCCCAGCCTCTACATTCAATCATGCCAGTTAAAGTCCATAGCCTCACCACTATCTTATAGTTTGTGATTATTATATGCACACAGTCCCCAGCCTTATTCTGGTGCTACCCATTACAGGGAATCAGGTTAGTTTCAGGGAACTTTATATTGGCTGGTTTTATTGATTTTCTAGCACAGATACTACTGTTAGATTTCAAAGTGTTTGAAAATAGATCATGAATAGAAAAGAAGATCAGGCTTACACGGGAGTCTCTGTGGTTCAGCTGAACATTGAGGAAATTCTTTTATCCGGTTGAAATGAAAGTGATCCTAAATATGCATTACATTATAGTCCAAATAATACATGCAGTGCTCAGACAGGTATACTGAAACATAATTTAAGAACTACATAAGTATCTAATACTTGCCTGATTCAAGTGAAAAACAGACAGTAAATCATATTTGATGCACATGTCACTGAACCAGTAGCTTTTGGTGAAAATGGTCAAGTGTTCCCAGTTTCATACAAATTTCCAGAATATCCAGGCATTTTTACTAGTAGATATTGGACTAATCCAATTTGATCCAGGTAGGACTCTTACCAAACGTAAGAAAATCCATTTCTGAGGAAACATGCATTGAATTGCACTATTAAATATATACTATTTTCCCCTTTGGCATTCCTTAGAACCATAAAATTCAAAGGATTCCTCCCCAAAGTAGTGAACTGGAGTGTTTCTATTTCAAATCAGTACCTAGATACTTCGCCAATAATGTTCAAGCCAACACTAAGTTTGAAAATGGTTTAATTATATCATGGCATGCAAAAAGAATTTTTTAGCTGTATAGTTTTTGAGGTATGCCCAAAGTAACTGTGGTAAAGAAAGAAATACAATTATGCTTTGAAAAAAATGCTTGCATTTAATAATGATAAAATTCAGATATTTATTCCTACTTGTTGAGTTGGATCCCAATATAGTCTGTGGGGCTTTAGATAAATCTAACTGAAGTTCCCCTGATTTCATGGCTCTGTTTTAAATCTGGCTTAATCTAGTCTTGAGATTCAGTCTTCAGTAAACACCAACAAGACCGAATAAAAGGCTATGGGATTAGGACAGTTGAAAAAAAATTAATAATATTCCACAATTACTGAACAGTGATTGTACATAAATATTAACCCTTACAATGTTTAACCTGGAATGAGGATGTCATAAGGAGAAGACCTATGGATTTAGCTCTGAAGAACAAAAATAGTAAACATAAGTTTTCTGTTAAGAATTCATTGCAGCTTCTTTAGTAAATAGTCGATATGAGGCTTTCTAAAATCAGTAACTTGGTTTTCTAATACAACATTCAGTTAATCCTATTTAATTGATACATGCATTTTAGAGCATTATGAACAATGTTTAAAGCTGTTCCGTGCACATTTTACATTAACCATTATTGTTAATGCTCTTCACCAAAGATAAAATTTCTAAACCAGCAGGAAAAATGATACTAGGTTGTATTGTAGGTTTACTAAACAAATGCATACATAATTACACAAAATACCCTCATAATTTTGATATTGCTCAGAGTCATATATTAATCCATAAGTACTTGTACTAGGGGGATTCACAATGCCGGAATGCATTACATAAATAAAATGCTTTCTTAGTGTGTTTATTGTGATATTTTTCTTAAAATGCA